AACTTTGTTGCTCCGAAAGGACATCTACTATCAGATTCACCGAAAACATTTTCAACTGATGTAGGTGATGTCCTGAGAATCGAAAGTCGAGGGCTGGGCGCCGTCCCAACAGATGATCAGCCATTCTCACCCACGGCAAGAAGAGAAGAGCTCAAGCACCGCCGCGATTGTTGTTGCCTTTTTTGCTTGAACTTCTCTCTCGCAGAGAAAAAAAAACTCGCCTCTTCCACCGCGGTTCTGTCAGCAGCATTGCACCATTCACTACTACTACGGTAAATAGTTAAAGAAACGTGGTGCCCCCAAAAAATAAGAATACTACTTCAAAAATATCTCTTGATGTAAGGCAGGGAAGTCGCTCACCAAGTCGAGGCACTGCTCCATGTTCTCTCGCGTCGAGTCCTGGAAGGTTGCCGCCAGGGTGTGGACGATAAACACACGGATGTGCTTCTTGAACCCCGGTACGCTCTCTATCAAGGCTGGCATGTCCCCGTCCGCGCAGGTCTGCCGCACCGAAGACCAAGGAGGTGACAACGGCTGAGCCAGGAAGGTACGATTTGAGCGAATAATTCCACTGCCGCGATCTTTTTTCTGGTATTCACGTCAAATCAGCGCCCGCACGCTTGTGTGCCATTTACTCCAACCCATGGTCACACATAAGGGTCTCCCCTAACCACCCCTCCTGCGGTACTTGCCTTCGATTGTTAATGCGAGAAGAGTGCAGCACTCTCTTCCCTTTGTGTGCACACACGAACTAGCGCCTTCCGCCCAGGCCAGAAACGGAAGCGAGAGAAAACCCACTTTGCAAGAAAAGCTCGCGTGCGCCGGGATTCGAACCCCTGACCTTAACTACTAGAAGCTTTTCGAGGATACCAACTAGACTACCGGGGCGACCGTCGTGACAGCGTGATTGACTTACGAAAATAATATTTTCCGCGTCTCGGAGGGGATGGCCTGCCGCCACGGAGGTCGAGCAGAATCAGCACGCAACTGCTCGGAGGAGAAGTGATCAAGTCGTCACAAAGAATTGGACGTGAGGGCTTCTGCAACCACCTTCACGACCACTGGCACCAAACTTCGAAGATTTTCGGACACGCGTAGGAGTGTCATCAATCTTGTCTCTTCTCTGCTCTCACCTGCCAAAAGTCGACAAATTTGGCCGTCTCCAACGAGTCCGCCCCCCTCTTTAGCGAGTGCACAGGTTCGCACCGGTGCAGGTTCGGCGGCACGATGTACATCAAGGCCATGAAGTCCGTGCTCGGCACGTTCATCAGCGCCTGAAATGATATCGGCGAGCGGGAGAGGGGGAGGGTATGTGGTGGTAGTTTGACTCTCGCCGCAGCGTCGACATGGTACCCCTTTGAAACAATACAGAAGGAGGCGGTCGCGAGGTGTTGGCCGAGCAACGTACGGTGGGGGGGGGGGGGGGGGGGGGGGTT